GCGGAGCGCCCTCTCGGGGGCGTGCCGCCCGCAGCTGCAGACGGCTCTCTGCGCACCAGCGAGTCGGGCCGAGGCCAGTCCACGGAGGCACCTAGGAAGAGCTTCGTACTTGGAAGTACCTGCCAGTTGCCCAGGATCGGCTACGCGTAAGAATGACCCGTTCGCCGGAGTGACCTTTGGTGCGGGCCCACTGGGGCCCCCGATCGCCGAGCGGGATGTGAGAGTGACGTCCTGCGCGGTTGCGCTTGGCTCCCCCCGCGGCCCCCACAAAGCCGCGCACCAGAGGTTGCTCTTACCCAGGATCACTCTTGCATGTAGCCGACGGGAAAGGTATTCGGAGGTACCTGCGGGCTGTCCAGGAGTGATACTTGTGGGTGCCTGCGGGCAGCCCAGGAAAGGTGCCGCCGGCTGGCAGCCGAGGAGTGGTGCTTAATAGGAGGTGCCTTTCCTGGGCAGCCCGCAGGCGCCTCCAACGAGTGCCTTTCCTGAGCTGCCCGCAGGTGTACCTCGTACTTGCCTGTCCTGAGGCTGCCCGCAGGTACAGCTAGCCCCGCACCCACCTTTGGCGACCTGGACGGTGTGTGGCCCCCGATCCGTTTTTTGGTGGCCCGCGTGTGCGGCCTGTGGCCGCGATTTGGCGCATCGCCCACATATCCCTGGTTGTTGGAACGCGCAATTGGAGCGCAGCTTTACATCAAGGGAGGAAAAACCGCCCGGACTGGACAATTGTCGTTTGCTAAACGGCCCTGGGCGTTTACTAAACAGCCCTGCCCTGTTCGATTCCTTCTTTGGGCGCGTTTGCTGCTGAACGGCTTCGCGTGTCGGGGTGGTTCTTATGGGGGTGGATGTTTTGGCTTCTGCCACCGCCGTCACGCCCCTCAGGGTCGAGGGCGCGGAGAGAGCTGCACGCCGGGCCTCGCCGGGCGCAGTGCCAGGAGCCGGGCTGCCGGGGACTCTCCGCTCGCGCGGAGCAGATCTCCGTGGGCCTCGGAGGCGAGGCACGGCCTGCGCCCGTCGCGCGCGTGGGGGGCGCCCGGGTGGACTTCCATCGGCTGGCCTTCTGGGCCTGCCGGTGCCCGTGCCCACCACTTGCGGGAGGTGCGATGAGACCGGGGGCAGCGAGAGGGGGGGGGATGGGCATATAGGGGGGGGGGATGCATCGACCCCCCATCGCCCATGGATCGCCGATAGGGGCCCGACAGCCCCAGCCTGCCCAGGAAGGTGCGGATCCACTATCGGGGGCCTATCGCCGATCTATCGGCGATGTACCGCCGATTCCAGGTGGATGCATCCTCCCCTATATGCCAGTCCCCCCGCCCCTCTCGTTGCTCCGCACGAGACCGCTGTCTGTGGCCGATCCTGCTTCGCAGCCTACTCGACGTCGGCTCCCCGAGTGAGCTCGCAGCCCGCGGGTCCCCCTTGCGAGGCCCCAGGCTCGGCCGCTGCGCCCTCGGGGGGCGGGCGCGGTCGCCCGAACGAGCGTTCCATTCCGCCCCGTTCCCCCCTCTCACCCTCGAGGGTCGAGGGCCGAGGTTCGAAGATCGAGGAGGTACCGATACAGCAACCCTTGGCCCGTGTTCCACTGTTTCGGCCTCCCGGGAGGCCCTCGTCGCCACCGCTGGATTCGCCTCGAAATCCTGGTCCCAACGCAGCACCCCGGGAGAGGTCCGAGGAGTAGCGGCATCGGTACCCTTGGGTTTCTCCACGGGTGTTGTGCGGGAGAGGTTCGGGGCCTGGCTCTGAGCCCAAAGTGGATGTAGGATCTCTCCCCCCGTTCCCTTACCGCTCCGCTCCTCTTCCTGGCGGTGGTGGTCGTCTCCTCCCCTTGCTGCCTTCGTACGCCGTTCCCTGCCGACGGCGGCAGCATACAGTGAAGACCCATTCCAAGAGACACCCTGCTTGCCTCCAGGGTGTCCTGGGTTTCTCTTGGGTTTTGATGGTTTTGCGACGGGAAGCGCGACGTCCCCAGACCCAAAATCAAGGGACGTTCTGAGGTCTCAGGGTTGGGCTTCTTGTGGACGGTTTCTTGTGGTCGAGCCCTTGCAGTACAAGCCCTCCGTGCTTGTGGCCTGGCCCAAGCTCCGAGAAGTGAGAAGTAGAAGGCCTTCTCAGAAGGTTCGGAAGTCCCCCGGCCTTCTGAGAAGCTTTCTAAGCTTTCCCCCGAAGACAAACATCCACTTCTCAGACGGCGCGAGGGCTTCTGAGAAGTCCCGCCGCCTTCTGAGAAGGCCTCCTCCTTCTCATTCCCCCCCTCGCTCGCCGCAAGTCGACTCTGGGCGTGCGCGCAATGTGCGGCGTGGCGCAGTCCCGTCTAGGCTTCCTAGATGGGGTCGGAGTAGATGGTGTCGAAGGATCGCGCCGCATCGCCGATGCATCGCTGATGCGGCCCGATGTGGAGCCCGATTTGCTTCACGTCGGCGTCGCCGATGCATTGCCGACGTCGACGATGCATCGCCGGTGCATCGCCGATGCATCGACGATGTATCGGAGATGCGGCGCGATCCTCCGACCCCATCTTCTCCGACCCCATCTTAGATGGGGTCGGAGATTCTAGAGGCCCCTATCTCGGAGATTCTAGGGGCCTCCTAGATTCTAGGAGGCCCCTATCTCGTGCACCCCGCGGGGCTTCTCTGCGGCGCGCTCCGCGCGGGGCTGGGCCGCGGCTCGCTGAGACGTCGCGAGACGTCCTGGGCCGCTCGCCTCGCGATGCTGCCAGGTGCCAAGCTTACGTCGGGCCTGTCGCTCTACAGGAGGAACATTGAAGAATCGTCAAAACATAGTCTGGAAACTACGTTTCCACTACTTTTGATTATTTTTGGTGTGATTTTGGCCGGTTTTCAGCTTTCCTCCGAAATCCGCCTGTAGGAGGACATGCCCGACCTAACGCCAAGCTCGAACGACGCGAGCAAGCACACTCCAGCCGGCTGCTTCGGTAGCAAATCATGGGAGCCTTGTGTACCCTCGCAAGTCCGTCTTTCGCGTCGACTCGCGTCGGTTAGCGTTTGGGAGTCGACGAGATAGCGCCGACTTCGCGTCGGCTAGCGTCGATTAGCGTCGACTTAGCTCCTATTAGCGTCGATTTAGCATCGATTAGCGTCGATTCGCAAGTGCCGACACGATGGTATGGAAGGCTCCTATGAGTTGCCAAGGAAAACTCCAGCTGGCTGCTTGGTCCCCGCCCCTCCCCTCGCCCTTCAATCGGCAGCGGCGCGGTGGCGAAGTGCGCGGGGCTACGACCCGCCCCCTGCCGCTGCCTCGGAGGGGCTCTCTGGCTTGCTCCCGCACGCAGGCGCGGACATCGGCGCCCGTGTTCTGTGCCCGTCCTCCGGCCGGCAGGCCCTGAGATCCGACGCTGCGAGAAAAACTCGGAGGAGGAAAAGGTACCCATACAGTGGAGACCCATGCCTAGAAACACCCTGCTTGTCTCCAGTGTGTCCTGGGTTTCATCGGTTTCGATGGTTTTGCTGTGGAAGGCGTGGCGTTCCCACACCAGAACTCAATGGACGTCCTGGGGTCTCAGGGTTGGGTTTCTTGTGGAAGCTTTCTTGTGGACTGGCCTCCACTGTACCTCTACCCTTCCCTCGTTGTCGCCTTTTTGGGCCTCCTGGGTAGCCCTCGTCGCCACCGCTGGATTCGTTTTGAAATTGTAGTTAGACTTCACTCAAGGAGAGGTCTGGGGAGTAGCGGTATCGGTACTTTTGGTTTCCCCCAAAACATGCAGCAACGCGAGAAAAAGACTAGACCAGGGCCTCACAACCCTCCTGAAGAAAAACTTGGCGGACCATTTCAGAAGCTCCCCTGCCCCCATCCCAAGTTGGCCCTTGGCGGGGCCGCTGCCACACCGGGATTTTCTATGCAACGTTGGACAGGGGGAGGAGGGGGGCGGCGCCCTTGCGAGATGATGACCTCACGACAATGCAGCCATGAAGACTCCAATGCCCCATGACCACGCAGTCCAATGAAGACTCCGATGCGGCCCCGAAGCGCTCCCTGAAACCTATTGCCATTTTCGTCAAGTTCTTTTTCAGGAGTGTGGTGGACCCGACCTTGCTGCAGCATTCTTCGAGCCGAGATCGATCTGTGATGGCCCTTGGGCCCGCAACCTGGTGCAAACGCCCTGCGTGAAAACACTGCGACGCTCGGATCTCAGGGGAGAGCCCCAAGTACACATCAACACCTGTGCGACCTCCAGATTTCTCGGGGCTGAATTCTGGGGGGGGGCATGGTTGTGTGTTGTCGGGGGCGCCCGCGTGAACGGGAGCCCCCCCCCCCCAGGGTCCGACGGCTCGCGCCCACACCAAGCGCGCCTTTGTCGCCTTGCCCGTCCCCACTGCTCCTCCCTACTGGCTAGAGCGCTTGATGCTCCTTCATCACACACACACACACGCACGCACCCGCCCGTCGTCCCGCTGGGTCTTGCCCGGAGGGTCTCAAACCGAGGCGGCACGGCAGGCGTGGGGCTGGCGGCCTGCCCGCTGCCGTGCACGGGCGAGCGAGGGGAGGGTGCCCCGCCCTGGTCCCGCCCTGGTGCCGCCCGAGAGGGGCCTCTGGGGCGGCCGGGCTGGGCCTGGACGCGCCGTCCCTGGCCACGGCTGAAGGCCCACCGTGAGGAGGCAGTGCCTCACCCAGGCGGCCCCTGCGCCCTCGCCTGTCCGGCCTCCCTTCACAGGCTTCGGTGGCCGCGTGCCGACTCGGGTCCCGCCGGGCTGGGCCTGGGCGCGTGCACAGTCGGAGCCCACAGTGAGGAAGCGGTGCCTCACCGAGGCTGCTTTCAGGAGGGGCAGAGATACCAATACCGCCGCTCGTCCTGGAGAGCCCTCGTCGTCACGGCCGGATTCTCCTCGGAGTTCTGGTCAGAACGCACCCCTGGAAAGGTCCAGGGAGTAGCGGCATCGGTACCTAGTTGTTTCCCCATACCCTTGTGTCCTCATCTCCCTGGCCTATCTTCACCCAGTCCTGGTGGCCGTGCGCCGACGAAGCTGCTGCAGCGTGGACGTCCA